AAGACTGATAGGTTTTTAGTAGGGTCAAAAGAGAGCATCATGACTCCCCAGGGGGGTCTGGGCGGGATCCGGGCGGGTGCCGCGGAAAACCGGGGACTCCTTTTTAAACCAACAGTAACGCATTTCGTGGTCTTCGAGGTCCCAGAACTCCATTCCTGGGCATGATTTTGAATGCCCAGAACCAACTGTAGGCCACTTCGTGTTCTTCGAGTTACCATAACTCCATTCCTGGGCATGATTTTGAATGCCCGGAGCCAATTGTAGGCCACTTCGTGGTCTTCCAGTTCCCAGAACTCCATTCCTGGGCATGATTTTGAATGCCTGGAGCCAACTGTAGGCCACTTCGTGGTCTTCGAGTTCCCAGAACTCCATTCCTGGGCATGATTTTGAATGCCCGGAGCCAACTGTAGGCCACTTCGTGTTGTCGAGTTCCAAGAACTCCATTCCCGGGCCACATTTTGAATGCTGAGGCAGGCTGATGCTGAGGCTGAGGCAGGCTGAGGCTGAGGCAGGCTGAGGCTGAGGCCGAGGCTGAAGGCAGACTGAGGCTGAGGCTGAAGCAGGCTGAGGCTGAGGCTGAGGCAGGCTGAGGCTGAGGCTGAGGCAGGCTGATGCTGAGGCAGGCTGAGGCTGAGGCTGAGGCTGAGGCTGAGGCAGGCTGAGGCTGAGGCCGAGGCTGAAGGCAGACTGAGGCTGAGGCTGAAGCAGGCTGAGGCTGAGGCTGAGGCAGGCTGAGGCTGAGGCTGAGGCTGAGGCAGGCTGAGGCTGAGGCTGAGGCTGAGGCAGGCTGAGGCTGAGGCAGGCTGAGGCTGAGGCCGAGGCTGAGGCAGCTGAGGCTGAGGCTGAGGCAGGCTGAGGCTGAGGCTGAGGCAGGCTGAGGCTGAGGCTGCTGAGGCTGAGGCTGAGGCTGAGGCTGAGGCTGAGGCTGGCTGAGGCTGAGGCTGAGGCTGAGGCAGGCTGATGCTGAGGCAGGCTGAGGCTGAGGCTGAGGCTGATGCAGGCTGAGGCTGAGGCAGGCTGAGGCTGAGGCCGAGGCTGAAGGCAGACTGAGGCTGAGGCTGAAGCAGGCTGAGGCTGAGGCTGAGGCTGAGGCTGAGGCTGAGGCTGAGGCAGGCTGATGCTGAGGCAGGCTGAGGCTGAGGCTGAGGCTGATGCAGGCTGAGGCTGAGGCTGAGGCCGAGGCTGACTGGCTGAGGCTGAGGCTGAGGCTGAGGCTGATGCAGGCTGAGGCTGAGGCAGGCTGAGGCTGAGGCTGAGGCTGAGGCTGAGGCTGAGGCTGCAGGCTGAGGCTGAGGCTGCAGGCTGAGGCTGAGGCCGAGGCTGAAGGCAGACTGAGGCTGAGGCTGAAGCAGGCTGAGGCTGAGGCTGAGGCAGGCTGAGGCTGAGGCTGAGGCAGGCTGATGCTGAGGCAGGCTGAGGCTGAGGCTGAGGGCAGGCTGAGGCTGAGGCCGAGGCTGAAGGCAGACTGAGGCTGAGGCTGAAGCAGGCTGAGGCTGAGGCTGCAGGCTGAGGCTGAGGCTGAGGCAGGCTGATGCTGAGGCCTGAGGCTGAGGCTGAGGATGCAGGCTGAGGCTGAGGCTGCGGAGCTGAGGCTGAAGGCAGACTGGCTGAGGCTGAAGCAGACTGAGGCTGAGGCTGAGGCAGGCTGAGGCTGAGGCTGAGGCAGGCTGATGCTGAGGCAGGCTGAGGCTGAGGCTGAGGCTGATGCAGGCTGAGGCTGAGGCAGGCTGAGGCTGAGGCCGAGGCTGAAGGCAGGCTGAGGCTGAGGCTGAAGCAGGCTGAGGCTGAGGCTGAGGCTGAAGCAGGCTGAGGCTGAGGCAGGCTGAGGCTGAGGCAGGCTGAGGCAGAGGCTGAGGCTGAGGCAGGCTGATGTTGATGCAGGCTGAGGCTGAGGCCGAGGCTGCAGGCAGACTGAGGCTGAGTCTGAAGGCAGACTGAGGCTGAGGCTGAAGCAGGCTGAGGCTGAGGCTGAGGCTGAGGCAGGCTGAGGCTGAGGCTGAAGGCAGGCTGAGGCTGAGGCCGAGGCCGACGGCAGACTGAGGCTGAGGCTGAAGCAGGCTGAGGCAGAGGCAGGCTGAGGCTGAGGCTGAGGTAGGCTGATGCTGAGGCAGGCTGAGGCAGGCTGAGGCTGATGCAGGCTGAGGCTGAGGCAGGCTGAGGCTGAGGCCGAGGCTAAAGGCAGACTGATGCTGAGGCTGAAGCAGGCTGAGGCTGAGGCTGAGGCTGAGGCAGGCTGAGGCTGAGGTTGTGACTGCGACTGCCGTTGCCACTGCGACTGTCATCGCGAATGCGACTTCGACTGCGAGAACAGCAGAATTCTACAACTGGCTTCTCATCTGAATCTTAAGGGGAATGCTTCCAGATATGCTCCTACACATCGCTGTTAGGTTGCTTTGCCGGGTTAATTTGAAAAGGAGCCGCCTCCCATCCGTGGAACTCTGGGAAACTTCTAAAACGATCATGCGCGGTGCCAACGCGAGAGCGATTATTCGAAAACGGCCAATCCACCATCCATGAACTGTTTGCCAACTCGTAAGACGAAGATGTGCCATGGCGAGAGCCATATATTGAAATCGAGCCGCCCTCCATCCGTGAATCTCGTGCAACCTTTTGATACGAATGCGCGCGGCGCTAAGGCGAGAGCCACATTGCGAAAACGGCCCGCATTCCATCTGAGGTTGATGCAAATGTCAAGCTCCAGGATCATACATGGTGCGGGAGTCTCGGGCGAAACGCTTGGCCCACCCTACCGACCGGCTCGGGGTGCGACAGGAAGGAGCGATTCGTTAGGATGGGGAAGGATGGGGAGGAGGATCGAGCAGGAGGGGCAGGCGACGGGGAGGAGTTGTTCGTTAGGGTGGGGGAGGATGGGGAGGAGGATCGAGCAGGAGGGGCATAAGGGGAGGAGCATCGAGGAGAGGGGGCAGGGGCAGAGGGGGAAAGCCATGAGGAGGAGGATCGAGGGAGGAAGGTCGACAGAAGCAGGAAGGATCGAGGGAGGAGGACCAGGAGGAGGGCCAGGATGAGGATGATCGAGGGATCGAGGAAGACCAGGAGGAGGATGATCGAGGAAGGCGAGGAGGACCGGGAGAAGGATGAGGAGGAGGATCGAGGGAGGAAGACCGGAAGAGGAGGACTGAGGGGGTCTGTCTGCGCACAGCTCCCGATTCGGGGCTGGACCCCCCCCCCCTGGTGCGCGCGGACCTCCGAGAGCCGATGCCCGCGCAGATGCTCTTGCTTCACGGGGGCGGGGCGGGCAAGGGGGGAGCCTGCCTCCGTCCGCCGCGGCAGGAAGCACATACACGTGTTCCTGATCCAGTCGTGGACCAAGATATTCGCGTGCACGGGGCTGCGCATCGGCACCGTGGTCTGCCCCTCTCCTGAGAAGCGTGAGCTGCTGGAGTCCATGCAGGCGCTCCTCGTAACCCTCCTCCCAGGTTTCTCCTCCTCCTCCTGCTCTTGCTCCCTTCCCGTGTTTGAGGAAGGGAAGGATGAGGAGGGGGGCGGTTGAGAGTTGGGAGAGGATGCGGAAATGGCAGCGTGTGAAAGTTGCCAATCGCGTGACAGAGGCCTGCATCGAGGCGACCAGGTAGGACCCTTGCCTCGCGCTGTACCAGCCCTTGGCAGCAGCGCTCTCGAGTCTCAGGGCCACGAGGTACCGCCACCGCGTACCGGGACCACGCGCGCGCGCTTCCGCTCCTCAGTGGGAAGTGAGAGTGAGGAAGACGATGCGGCGGGGGCGTTACTAGTAGTTCAAGGAATGGGCCCAGGAGGCTGCAGACCCTGGAGGATTCCTTGTCTAATGAGGGCGGCGGTGCTAACCATGGCCCATGCACGATTGGAGTTCCACTGGCTTCCAGACCCTGGGTTCCTTGTCCAATGGTTCCTTATCCAATGCCCTCACCGTCGTATCACTACTGGAAGTTTTGTGCCTGGGTCACCGATTCGAGGATACAGGGACTTTCCTGGACAGCTCTGTCAGAGCTAAGAGGGCTTCATATTCGAAGCCCGAAGCGCGGGATGGCCCGGAAGCTCTCTCCGGCGCCAGCAGTGGCGATCCGGAGAATCAGGCTGGAGAGGTCCAATTCGGAAATCGAATTCGGAAGTCGGAAGTCTGAATTCGGATATCCGGGTTCCGGGTTCGGGTTCCGGGTTCCAGGTTCCGGTTGCAGGTTCCGGATTGGACCTCCGAATTCGGATATCCGGATTCGGGGTTCCGGGTTCTGGGTTCGAGGTTTCGGATTGGACCTCCGAATTCGGATATTTGGTTTCCGAGTTTTGGGTTCCAGGTTCCAGATTGGGTTCCCGAATTCGGATAATTATCAGGATTCGGGGTTCCGGGTTCCAGGTTCCAGAATGGATTTCCGATCGAGTTCGGATATCCGGATTCCAGGTTCCGGGTTCCAGGTTCCTGAATTTTTTTGGGGGCACTTTTGGATTCTGGGTGCTTTGTTGGAATTTCCTGTAGACTTTTTGAATGCTTCTCGGGAGGCCTCCTTGGCCTTCTTGGGGGCCTCTGGGGCTCTTTGAGGGAGTCTTTGGTCGTCTTAGAGCGTTCCTGGCCCATCTGACGCCGTCCGACACCGTCATTGAGGCCTCTCGGAGCCGATTTCAGGCCCTCATGGGCCGTGTCAGGGCGGTCTTCGAGGCAGCGTAGGCGTCTTGGAGGCCTCTTCGGCCGTCGGGGCCCTCTTGGGCCCTCTTGGGGGCCTCTTGAGCTGTCATGGGGACATCTTGAAGGGCTCCTGGGCGATCTTGGCGTCTTGGAGGCTTCTTGGACGAACTGGAGGCATCTTGGACTCTCTCGGGCCGTCTTGGAGGCCATCTTGGACCATCTTGGGCGGACTTGGAGGCCTTTTTGGAGGCCATCTTGAGCCGTCTTGGGGGATTCTTCTGGGATTGAGCTCCTGGAGTTCCCTTTCGGGTGGCCGGCGGGACGGGCCGCCAGGGGGAGTTCTTGTGGAAAAAAACCAAAACCAAAAACGGAAGGTCCGTAACAATTTTGGCTCAAGGTTCCGAGGGGCCGTCGCCGGCCTCCCAGGGCTCTCTTCGGGCGTCTCTCGTTTCTGTCAGCTCTGCACATCTGCAGACGGCATGATGAGCCTTCGCACGTCTCACAGCGTCGGCGCCCTGCTCCTGCTGCTGGTAGCGCGCGGCGCCCCGAGCGCCGGTCGCCGGCGAACGGGACGCTGGCCCGCCCGGCTGGAGGCTCGGCGAGCGGTCGGTCGCCCTCGCGAGCCGCAGGCCGAGTTCGGCAGGCGCCAGGCTACCAGCGGCGCGCAGTTGCTCAAGCTCTTGGCGGGTGATGGGGTCGCCCACAACAAGTTCGGTGTTTCGGTGTCCGTGAGCTCCGACGGGGCCCGCGTGGTGGTAGGGGCCGGCTACTACTACTATGACGACGAGTCCATTCAGTTTGGCTCCGCGTACGTGTTCGACGGTACCACCGGCGAGAGGCTGCTCAAGCTTGTGGCGAGTGATGGGGCCGTTTTCGACGAATTCGGTTGGTTGGTGGCCGTGAGCTCCGACGGGGCCCGCGTGGTGGTGGGGGCCGTTGGTGACGACGACCAGGGCACCAATTCAGGCTCCGCGTACGTGTTCGACGGTACCACCGGCGAGAGGCTGCTCAAGCTTGTGGCGAGTGATGGGGCTGGAAGCGACAGCTTCGGTTACTCGGCGGCCGTGAGCTCCGACGGGGCCCGCGTGGTGGTGGGGGCCGTTGGTGACGACGACCAGGGCAACAATGCAGGCGCCGTGCACGTGTTCGAGGGTACCACCGGCGAGAGGCTGCTCAAGCTTGTGGCGAGTGATGGGGCTGGAAGCGACAACTTCGGTTGGTCGGTGGCCGTGAGCTCCGACGGGGCCCGCGTGGTGGTGGGGGCCTACCAAGACGACGACCAGGGCACCAATTCAGGCTCTGCGTA